TTCGGTATGACTGGTCTGCCACGTGGGCCTACAGTCCCCCTCGATCCGCTCATCGGGTATATTGGCCTACAGCACAAAGCAGGACCGCCTCAACCCAACCACAAACAAATAATCATGTGCACATACTATCATATATAGCCATATATAAACATATAACATATCTGTCACACTGATCATCAATCATAGAATTCTCCTGTAACTAGAGTACCGACCTAGTAGGTCACTAACACACCAATCCCTACGGATCATAAAAGCATAACATACTGTCTACCTCGTTTCCGAACTAACAAATCACAACCACATGCAACATACCATAACAATAACAACTAAAGGGTCGGCCTTGGTGCCGTAGACCCTATCGATATAGTGAGGATAACTCACCTTGCAAATGTCGACTCGAAAGATACACTCCAACTCTCGGATCACCCGACACCGGCTCCACCACCTAAGATCATAGCACAATATGCTCATAAGTCCTTAACCTTATAAGGTACCCCATAACCCATTAGTCAACCCCTAATCAAAGTCAAAGCACTCAGTCAAGGTCAACAGTCCATGTTGACCCCAAATCGCCGACTACCATCGGCTACTCGCCGACTACCATCGGCTACTCGCCGAGTTCCTTGAAGTATAATCCAACTCGCCGAGTCATCGGGGTGACTCGTCGAGTTCCTTTGATTCTCATTCGAACTTTAAGGCCACCCTTCGAGTTCCCTCCTTGCAACTCGATGGATACACGCTCATACATATCCAAGTGAACACTCATCCGACTCGCCGAGTTGTTCTTTAACTCGTCGAGTCTTATGGCGATCTTCATCGGACTCGCCGAGTTGTTCATTAACTCGTCAAGTTCACGACCATCTTCATGTGACTTGCCGAGTCAACTTTGCAACTTGCCGAGTCCATTCAATCATTTTATCATGCAGACAACTTTTAAGCCATGGCAAGACCCCAAATTGTAGATCCAATTTCCTTAGGCCTGCTTATCACGTAAAGTTGCAAACTTTACGTGCATGCAAGGCTCCAATGACTCAAAAAGACCAAACTATGCTTGAAATGGGGTTTTACACATAGGGAGGGGCTCAAACTTTCCAAAGCTAAGAACTTTATGGTCCTTCAATCCATAGAGAGTTCAGATCTGAAGTTACAACTTCAGAACTTGGCTCATACTCCAGGAAATGACTTTATAACCCAACCAAGAACCCTAACCTCCAACCAAGGAGGTCTAGAACGAAATAGAAAGGAGGATAACAGCTTGATACCTTCCCAAGAGTTGACAAATGGAGTAAATATGGATTTTCCCCAAGCTCCTTGCTTCAAACCACTTGCTTGCATAGCTCTTTTCACCAAAAATCCTCTTCCAAGGATTCAAACACACAATGGGCGCACACACACATTAGGGTTTGATAAGAGAATGCAAAGAGGTTGAAAGAGGTTTGTGTTCCCTTAAATAGGGTGCACAACCCTGGGATTTAGGGTTTCGGCCGCCAGCTCCTACTCCCCGAGTCCCAATATGGACTCGTCGAGTAGGTTACTTAACCCGTGATCCTTACCGCTGCTACTCGACGAGTAGATCAACCAACTCGTCGAGTAGGGCTTAAGCCAATAACTCATATTTAGACAATACCTGAGAATCGGGGCGTTACAAATGTAGGGTGTACATTGGTGCTGAAATATGTTCAACATGTACCAGTGCTGAGAATGTATCTTATCTTAGTTGGAGCTCTTAATGTTTAGGGATATGATAATCAATTCAAAGATGGCACTTAGAAGTTGTTAAAAGGTGTTATGGTCGTTGCGATGAGACAACACTATGGTGCACTTTGTAAAACCTCTATACAGCTGCTTCAACCAAGTCTCAATGTTGTTGAATAAGAGACATCACCAAACTTGTAGCATAAAAGACTAGGCCACATGATCGTGAAAGGATTGACGACTCTTGTAAATAAGGAGTCTATTTCAGTGGCAAAAGATGTTTTCGTGGATCTATGTGAATACTATCTATTTGGGAAACAATATAAAGTTTCCTTATGCCCCACAAGAAAGAACCGTTACGAGTTGTTGAGCCATGTCCACTTCGACGTATGTGGAACCACTAAAGAAGATGATGAAGTTTATGATGAAAATCAAGAAGGTGTTCATTAGGGGAGCTTCCACCTATTGATAAATCAAATACATTGCCAAAATTTGAAAATGAAGTAACTCAAGGTCGAATATCTGAACGAGTTTGTTTTCCATCAACAAGGTACCCAACTTCAAACTATATCCTTCTTACCAACAAGAGGGAGCCAAAGAGCTTTTAGGAAGTTTAATCTTATATTGACAAAGCCAAATGACAGAATGCCATGGAAGAAGAAATGAATTCTTTGTAGAAGAATCAAACATATAAGTTGGTGAAACTCCCCAAAAAAAAGAAATACTTGAAAAAAATGGCTTTTCAAGTTGAAGAAAGATGGCAAGGAAAATACAATGATGTATAAGGCAAGAATCATTGTCAAAGGTTTCCAACAAAAAGAAGGAATTGACTTTGATGATATTTTTTCGCCGGTTGTGAAGGTGATGTATATTTGAGTTGTTCTTCGATTGGTTTCCAGTCTATATCTTGAACTTGAGCAGATGGATATGAAAACAACCTTTCTCCATGGTATTTTGGATGAAGAAATATACATGGAGCAACTCGATTGCTTTAAAGTCACAAAGAACTAACATCTCTTCTGTAAATTAAAGAAGTGCCTTTATGGTCTTAAGCAAGCCCCAAGGAATTCGTACAAGAAGATTGACTCATGGCGAGTTACGAGTACAAAAGAACCATTGCAAACCACTACGTCTACCTAAAGAAGTTTCTAGATAGGAAAATTATCATCCTTTTGCTCTACGTTGATGATATGCTAATAGTGAACTAAGATGGAATGATGATCGACAACTTGAAGAAGGATATATCTAAGTTCTTTGATATGAAAGACTCAGGCCCAACACATCATATATTGGGCATGAAAGTTATCTATGATGGAAAATCAAGAAAAATGTTCTTATCATAGGAGCAGTATGTTGAACATGTGATCAAAAGGTTCAATATGGAAATGCCAAGCCCATTGGTATGCCATTGGTAAATCACTTCAAGTTGAATAAGAAAACTTATCCCTCTTATGAGAAAGAAAGAGAAGAGATGAAGAAAGTCCCTTATCCTCATTTGTAGGAAGTCTAATGTATAGGGGCGAGGCTATATTGGTCCAAGGTGGGTCACTTGACCTACCTAAATCTAATAAGTTTACAACAAATTACATACAAAAAAATTAGGACCTACCTTAAATATTTTGAAGGATCTATGTTAATGTGTTTGGTAAAAAAGAGAACAAAAAAACTATAAAATATACGCAATAGAAGGCATATTATATTTATGACTTGAAAGAGTCCCAAATTGACACCAATATGAAAATGAAGACTATTTTTTTCTATTATAAGTAAATGTTTCATTTTTCATTTTTTTACACCATAAGCTTTTCTATATTTTGGTTTAAACTTGCTAAATCAAAGTATAAGGTGGTTTTAGTGAAACCTTTTCATGAAGGAATGACCAATTTGGGCTCGGTCCTTTCACCACCAATTTTTATACACGTTAAACTGATTATATTTTTGGTTGAACCGACCCAATTGAACTTGATTTTCTCTTGAACCAGCCCATTAAATTTGGTTAGTGAACCAATTGACATTTTATTCTAGACTCACCACTGCTTACGTATTCAATGGTGTGTACAAGAGCAAATATTGCTCATGATTTTGGTGTTGTGAGTAGACATCTTGCTACTCCAGGAAAACAACATTAGGAAGCAATCAAGTGGATACTTCGTGCCTTAGGGGTAGTTCGAAAGTATGTTTATGTTGTGGGGGAGAAAAGCCAATCGTGGAAGGTTATATAGATGCCGATATGGATGGATATCTTGATAATAGGAAATCTACATCAAGTTACGTTTTCACTTTGGCAGGGGGCTATCTCGTGGCAATCCAAGTTACAGCAGTGTGTAGCACTGTCAACAACAAAAGCCAAGTATAATGTTGCTGTTAAAGCTGAGAAGGAGCTTATATGGATAAAACAATTTCTTTAAGAATTAGACTTTCCACAAGAAGAGTACATGATTGATTGTGATATTCAGAATGCTATGGACCTTAGCAAGAACTTAATGTACCATTTTCTCACAAAACACATTGATATCCATTATCACCGCCTTAGAGAAGCAATTGAGGGACGAGAATTGAAGGTGTTAAAGATCAACACCAATAACAATCCTTCTGACATGTTGACCAAGGTGGTCATCAACACTATTAACAATCCTAGAAGGTGACATTTCTTGATTTCCAAACTCTATCTAGAAGCCCACCATTGTTGATGGCAACATTTTCTTCCTAGGGTGGCATGTTCTTCTTCCCCTATGGTGAACATAATAAATGATGACAGGAGAAATGGTGGCTTCCATGAATATAAATATAGGCTTTATCTTCAGTTGTAAAGCATCCCAAACTCAGAGAGTTTAAGCATAATACTTAGTGTGAGAATGCTAGAAAGAGGGTTGGTTTTTTGTAATAGTTGAGTATGAGAGCGACTCCTCCTATTGTAATTATGTTATTGTCTTGAACAAAAGAGTTTTCCAATCCCAACAATGATACCCATTTGGTTAGTCTCTTGTTTTCATTTACTTCAAGTTCAAATTGAGTGATAGCTTAAGTCATTCATATATTTTATAAAATAAATCACTCACTGAATGCATAACATCATAGGAAACATTGATACACAGATCACTCAATGATCTAATTTATGCAAGATTAATTAATTATGTTACTGTTTGGTTATTTTCATATATTCATAATAGATTTTATAAGTCATGGATTTATTTATCATACACAAAATTTTGTTTACTCAGTTTACATTTTAAATTTTAATAATCAATATTTTAAGATATTCTTGTCGATTGTTTGATGCAGCTATCTGTGTCGGATCTGTGACAATGTTGGTTGGGATAATTTTCTGTTTCATACGGAAACTCAGATGGCGAAAAAAGACAAATAAGGATGTTAATGTGGAAAAATTTCTAGAAGATCATCAATTCCTTGCTAAAAGGTACACTTATTTGCAAGTAAAGAAGATGACAAACTTATTTGAACTCAAATTAGGACAAGGTGGCTTTGGTTCAGTGTATAAAGGAACATTAAGTAATGGAAGCTTAGTGGCGGTGAAGATATTAAGTGAATCGAAAGGAAATGGTGAAGATTTCATAAACGAAGTCGCAAGTGTTGGCAGGACGTCCCATGTAAATGTCGTAAGTCTTGTGGGATTTTGCTTTGAGGGCCATAAAAAAGCATTGATTTATGAGTTCATGCCTAATGGGTCACTTGAGAAATTCATATATAACCCTGGGTTTTTGAGTAGTAGTCAACTTGGTTGGGAAAAATTACGTGAGATTGCTATTGGGATTGCCCGAGGCTTAGAATACTTGCATAGTGGTTGTAACACACAAATTTTGCATTTCGACATAAAGCCCCATAATATTCTTTTAGATAAAGATTTTTCTCCTAAGATATCAGATTTTGGCCTTGCTAAGCTATCCCTCGAGAGAAGAAGCATGATGTCCATGTCCCTTATGAGAGGAACACCTGGGTATATAGCCCCCGAACTATTCTCAAGGAGTTTTGGGCAAGTATCCCACAAATCAGATGTTTATAGTTATGGGATGATGATTTTGGAAATGGTTGGAGGGAGGAAAAATGTTGAGGTTGGAGTTGATCATACAAGTGAAATATATTTTCCTCATTGGATATACAAAAAAGTTAAATTTAATGAAGAACTTGGACTGCATACAAGTATGAGTGATGAAGAAAAAGAGATGGTAAGAAAAATGATTATTGTGGGCTTATGGTGCATACAAACAAATCCCTTGAACCGACCAACAATCACGAAGGCATTGGAAATGTTAGAAGCGGACTTAGAGTCACTGGAAATCCCTCCAAAACCTTATTTGTCTTCTCCATGAAGGTCAGTTGGTTCCTCATTTACAGATTAATTACATCTTTGTAGTCTATTTATTGGAAGTTTGAAATATCTCAGTGTTGTAAGTTCTATTAAACATGGTTAGTCCTAAATTTGTATCGATGGACCTGTGGTGCTCATGAAATAAGCAAATACCCAATCCTATTGGAAATTAGGGTGTTAAACATGTTATACAATAAAGCCCCTGTAGTCTACAAAGAGTAATTAAAGAAACATATATAATTTAACATTGCAAACACACGGAGGGGCAGATTGATTAAAACCTAACATAAAAAAACATATTTTTTTATACCTTTTTACTAATTAATTACTTTTTCTAACGACTATTTTTGAATAAAACATATTAATCATTTTAAATAGATGATTACCTTTTCTAATGTCAAAATTTGAAATGTATGTGACTGCCTTTTTCATACAATTAATGTTAATTTTGTCTCCAATATTAACTGCAAATATATTTAAGGTGCTCCGTGTTCATAATTCATTAACAAGTGAAAACACAAATCCCATTGAGTTTGAAGATATGCTTACATAACTGAGAAAAAAAATCAACTATATCAATGTTTTTGATGATCAAATTAAATGTCACAATCTATAAAAATAAAAATAACAAAAAAAATTAAAAAAAAGCCTCGTTGTCATCAGTCGTCATCATCTATTTACTCTATTTGATTTCCATATTTTGTTATCAGTTAAATCTATGAATATGGTAAAAATAAAGTATATTGCCTATATTGGTAAAAAGATGTTGGTGATTTTGATCATCAATGTTATTTAAGTGTAATGAGATTACTTTGTGTTGACCAAAAATGATCTTGATAAATATTAAACAAGTAAGGAAGGTGTGGAGTACACACTTGTTTAAGTTTGATCAAGTTTCAAAGTACACTGTCATTTAGGGGCGAAGCCCCTGAACAAACGGGGGTCCGGGGGCAGCACCCCTGGGAGCGGGGTCCAAGGGGCGGCAGCCCCTGGCGGGGTCCAAGGGGCAGAGCCCCTGGCTGGGATCGAGCTTAAAAATTGAGTAACATATATAGGGTATGTTACTATATTAAAAAAATGCATCAGAAAATTGACCATTGGTTTGACCCTTATCTATATATCCGTTTTATGACAGTTTTTATGGTTTTATGACAGTTTAAAACTGTCATATGACAGTTTTCAGACAAAGTTGTTAAAAGTTGGTTTTGGTCTCATTTTCTGGTACATACGAAAATATCATCAAACATTCTTTGTTCTTGTCTCTCTGAGTCTTATCCAATTGAAGATTTGGGAGTACCACCAAATACTTCGATTTGAAAGTGACAATCACAATTCTCAGAATTTCCAAGCCTTTCTAAACCCAAATTTCTAACAAAAGAGTAAACTACATTGCTATTTCTTGCGATTTCCCAGATGAAATTTTAAAAGTTATTTCATATTTATTGTTGGATTCCATTTCTTTCCAACTAAACCAAATGGTGGAAGTCTGTTGAGGCTCAATGCTTACATACTTCTCCATATGTAGAAAATGTGATGCTATTTCTTGCATAAAATATGTTCATCTGACATGTTAATTTTGTCATGAGTCAATTTCCCATAAATTATATAATCTAAACATGTAAAAACTAATTATATAAGCTAAACATGTGAAAACTAATTACAAAAGCTAAACATTATTTCAAATTTATATATGTAAAGCAAGATACAAGGTAAAGATTAAACTTACAAATGCGATTGCTGTACACATCATATTCAGCAAAAACCTCATACCATTCTTGAAGCTACATGAACTCAATAAACATAGTAAGTTATGCAAGCAAACCATAATCAATGAACTAATTCCAGTTATAAAATTCACAAAATGCTTTATATTCAACTAAAACTTAAAATTATCAACACAAAATTATCCTCTTGCATTTATAACCAAGGAATATCCAACCCAAATCCAAAATCATGTAAACGTACAAAAAAATGTCAATGCTTATTAGACGATATATATAATCACATTTATATATTAGAGGGTTTAGAGTGTAAATATGTATTAGTGTGTGTATATATATATATATATATATATATATATATATATATATATATATATATATATATATATATATATATATATATTCTTATAATCGTGAGTTACTATTGATACAATACAATCATCAAGTTTATCTTGGTATCAAGGCCAAACCCTAATACACTTATCGGTTGAGTTAAGTTTATTATTTCCTATAAAAATCACCCTTCTCATTAAATCACTATAGATAACTGAATACAAAGGCATGGGTTGATTACAAAGAATATGGGCCTGAGAAATACAATATAATACAAATATATATATATATATATATATATATATATATATATATATATATATATATATATATATATATATATATATATATATATATATATTAACACCCCCTTCCCCGCAGTTCGAATGGGAGTTAGAGACCGGACATTCAAACTGGATATGAAATCTAAAAATAAAGATGTTGGAAGACCTTTGGTAAAAATGTCTGCATACTATGACGATGAGGGGACATGTAACACGTGGGTTTGACCAAGAGCAACTTTATCTCGAACATAGTGGATGTCGATCTCAATATGTTTCATTTGTTACCGTTGAACCGGATTATTTAACAAATTGAATGCACTGACATTATCACAATACACAATGGTCGCACTAGTAGTAGGAAAGTGTAACTCTAATAATAAGTTCCGAATCCATGAAATATCAGCAACCGCATTAGCAGCACCCCGATATAGTCTCAACACTTTAGCGAGACACAGTGTGCTATCGTTCAGAAGACCAAGATAATAAATTTTGTCCAAGAAAGACACAATAGCCGGTAGTAAACCATCTCGTTGTAGTGTAACCAACCCAATCAACGTCAGAGTATGCAATGAGACCACTGTCAGGGGTAAAATATAATTGCAACCCATAATCAATGGTGCCACAAACGTATCTTAAGATGTGTTTAAGAGATATAAAATGGGGTTGACATGGGTCATGCATTTAGAGATATATCTGTTGTATAACATAACTTAAATATGTTCTTGTGAAAGTGATATACGGGAGGGTACCTGCAAGGCTACGATACAAGGTAGGGTCGGAAACTAGCTAACTGAAATCATGAAGCTTGGCTAACGTGTCAGCAGGAGTGCGAGTTGGTTTATAGTTTAGCGTGTTCGATCTGGTAAGAATTTCGAGTGCATATTTGCATCGAGACAAAAACATCCCGTGAGATTCTCGCTTAATAGATATACCAAGGAAATTGTTTAAATCTCCAAGATCTGTCGTAGAAAATTTAGAACCAAGAACCTTGGTAATTGTGTGCAATAACTCCAGAGACGAAGCTGTGAGAAGGATGTCATCGACATAGAGAAGGAAATATGCAATATGACTACCATGATGATAAATGAATAATGAACTATCACAACGACTGTTAGTGAAACCATACTGCAAAAAGAAATTGAGAAAACCGTTGAAACCATGCTCTCGAGGCCTATTTGAGGCCATATAAAGATTTCTCAAGGAGACATACATGATCTAGAAATCTAGAGTCACGAAACCCAAGTGGCTGAAACATGAACATAGTTTCATGTAAATGCCCATGAAGGAAGGCATTTTTGACATCAAGTTAACGTATGGGCCAATATTTCGAGACAAAAAGAGATAAAATTGTACGTATGGTGGTTGGTTTAACCATATGATTGAAGATCTCATCGCAATCTATTCCAGGTCGCTGACTACGATCATTAGCCACAAGCCGAGCATTATATTGTTCTAAGGACCCATCAACATGCTCTTTCTTTTTAAATAATGAAATGTAATTGATAATATTAGCACCAACAGGTTTAGGAACAAGCACCCAAATTTTATTATAAATAAGAGCATTAAACTCATCTAGCATATCTTTAAGCCAATTAGGGTCATTAAAGGCTTGTAAGTAAGAACAAAGAGTAGGCGAGATATTTTGAGTGTGGAAATTTAATTTATGTATCGGTTTTATAATACCCGCATGACTCTGTGTCACCATAGGATGAGTAGACACATAACTAGAAGGAGGACAAATGCTCACGTTAGTAATGGAGGAAGATGATGTGGGCGCATCTGTGGTTGGTAAAGAATTGGTTGGCAGAGGCCTGGGTAGCGGAAGAGGGAGTAGGTTGTGAAAAAGGAGATAATATGAGTTTAGTGGCAGTAATGTTAGGATTAGTGTAATATCCTGAAAATCCAAGGTAAAATTTTTTCATTTTAAAAACAATAAATCATACAAGCGAGTTGTTCCAAAACCGATCAAAGTGAATATATCATTTAAACATCAAAGTAATATCATTAATTGCCAATCCGGAAAACTCTGGGGATGCTGTGCCATCACGTCGGGCCCTTGTCCTTAGTACCAGATGTACCTGAAACATAAACTGAAAACCGTAAGCACAAAGCTTAGTGAGTTCCCCAAAATACCATACACCATACATACATTTGTCATGGGCTACCCCCATGGTATTTTCCCTAAAATGCCATGGGCTACCCCATGGTCTGACATCCAAGTGCCATGGGATACCCCAATAGTCTTTCCTTGAAATGCCATGGGTTGCCCCCATGGTCTGACATCCAAGTGCCATGGTCTACCCCCATGGCCTTTTATACAAATGCAACGGGCTACCCCCGGGGTCTTCCAGGGAAGTATCGCAAATACATCTAGCATTCCACGTAACAAGTAATGGACATGCATTAGTGCCTTCGACCAATGGATATAGTGAGAAAACTTACCTCAGAATCTGAAAGAATAGCTGCACCGATCACTGATCTAAAAGCTATCTCGACCGGTCGCCTATACAATTAACGAGAACCCAAATCTCAAACTATAAATCAAATTACCGAAAATGCCCTTAGGTCGAATTTGGTAAACCCTGGTCAAAGTCAAAGTCAACGGTAAAGGTCTAAAAGTCAATAATCCTTCCTATCGGAGTACGCCCTGCATACCAAGAGAG